TATGATCATATAATGTAACTAAACCCCCATTATTTTTGCCTAGATTAGGTGTTTTTAAAAAAACAAATAAAATCTTTCAACATTGTAGTTGCTGTTTAGTGGATAGGTGAGTGCGCTGGATCTTGTGTAATATATATATATATATAGAGAGAGAGAGTTGTTGTATATTTAGCCTTTCTCTCTTATAATCCTAGCTATGTTTGTTCCTTTTCACTGTTTACTATGACACTCTAATGCATTTTGCAAGTTGCTGAGCAGAGTGCTCGGGGATAGGCTCCAATGGGACGCAGCTGGTGCATAATGGACTCTGCGCCCCTGGGAATATAGGCACAGAGTCACACTTTATTAATACAGGACAAAGCTAATAACAGGGGATCTAAGGCTTGCGACCTCTGGTATTCCATCTGCTGTGCCTTAACTCTCAGCATTCTCAGACAGCCATGTGTTGTAAGGCAGCAGATGGGATATTGGAGATTGCTTATTCCTGAGGGTGTCCTGCCTGCTGTTCATAGACTTTCTATGGAAATTGATGAATATTTAAATGGCACATTACATCAGATAAATTTATCATGTTGCAGACTGCAGCTCCTGCCTGTATCATGTGACGAGCCTGGGAGGAGACCTGGTGCTCAGTAGACTGCAGCGCCTAGATTTGTCTTCTGAAAACATGAGGCAGCCAGATTGGGTCAGGAACTTGTCTGATTGAAGGGGAACTTGTGTTGCAAGCTGCAGCATCTTTTTATCACAAAACTAACTCCAAAATACCCCCTGTGTGTTCCTTTTATCTGAATATTTAACTCATTAATATAAATATGCCTAAAAGTTGACGCATTTCTTTTACATGGTTTTCCTACTGAAATTTTCTAAACTAGCACCCGAAATTCCCCATGAATATCTACAATGCTCACACTCACAGTTAACGTTAGCTTTATTTCCCTGACCTTGCAATAGAATATTTACCAGTCGAATGCACTTGTAGAGTTTGTCCAGCTAGAATCACTTGAATGAATTTTATTCCAGCTGTTACATAAGTTCTAAGACATTGTTCCTATGTCAGCTGATTTTTATATTACCGTATGTAGTTCTCATATGATCTTCTTTTCCAAATGTGCTCAGCCCATCCACAGACATTTCTTAACACGTCTTCACAAAAATCGTGTCTGCTATCAAGTAGTTTTGCATTTGTCTCAACTCATTATATTCGTAGGAAAGATTTAAAAAGCCGTTAACATGGCTAATTTGCTGGCATGAATGTAAACTTGGAGTACGTTTTGGCTTCGGAGATTGGCACTGACCTTTAAAAAGTTGTATGTGCCCTGAAAAGTGGAGCGCTTAGCAAAATAAAACAAGCAATATATTACTTTGCCTGTAAATAAACTGTGGTACAAAAGTCAATATATGTATAATAAAAGGAGTTTATTTTATCACCGATGTTTAATTTGAAAAGAAAAATCACCAATTAGAGCAATAGTGTATATGCAAGCTCAACTTTCACAAATAAAGTGCATATAACCAAACAATATTGTGCAGTATGAAATTAAGATTTGTATATATTATTTTCACAATTAAAATAGTGCAGTTCAAAAAAGTGTATCTATAACTAAAACCAATATTTATATATTAGTGTGAAACCTGTCACACCCAATAATGCTTAATTACAGGTATCAATCTTTTTAAAAGGTATTATAGGACCTCAAAATAGAATATAATAGTGCAGACAATCTGTTCAAAGAGAACACCCTTTATACACTGTGTTCCCCAGAATGTGCCAACTTACATAAGGTAGAGCTCCGATATTTGCCGCTTTGGGGTACTCCTTCCCTCCCACAGAAGTCTTCATTAACTGGAGCCTTTTCTTTCAGACGTAACTATATACGCAAGCACCTCTATTAGTGACGCTACCCTTAAGGAAGTTATACCCGTGATTTTTTTTAATTAGGTAACATATGGGTTTTATTAAACAGGACAAATAAAATCACAAAGGCAGTGTGTAGCAGGGACTATTTGTTTTCTAAACGCCTTTCACCAAGTCTGCTTATTCAGTCAGTGTTAGTATCTATCTATCTATCCATCCATCCATCCATCCATTCAGTATCTTTCCATCTATTTATCTATCTCACAGCATACTGAAAAGCAGAGAAGCCATCCCCTTAAAGATTTATTGTGAGTGAGATCCAGTTCCCCATCTGGCAGCTCTATTCACAAAAGGAAATAAGACTTTGTGACGGACGTCTTTTGTGTGCAGCCTTTAATTTTGACTGAGGAGACAGACAAAAGACATGTGATGCAGTTTACCCGAGACAGTGCAAGAGTTTAGACGCAGTCCCCTTTAATTCGCGGTGAAGAGCAGACCTTTCTTTCTTTCTTTTTTTTTTTTTAAATGCCGGCTAAGGCTCTGGACCCTGAAGACAGGAGCCGCAGTAACCGAGCGTTATTGGAAATCTTTTTGAAGAAAAGGCTTTACATGGAGAGATGTCCTTATGGTAAGATGCTTGGTCTACGTGGCCTGTTAACCCTTTACAAAAAAGCTCCTAAAGGTGTCCCTTTTTATTTTTATATTTCATTGCCTGTCACAGAAAGTTCTGCTTTTAGCTATAGAAACAAAAAACGTATTGGATCAGTTACCTATCTGCTGATAGTAATTTGGAGGGGGAGGGAAGAGGGTATTAACTAAACATTTAGTCGCACATTTAATGTAAATACTGGCAAATATTTCAATTTTTTTTTTTTTTTTTTGTTGCTCTCCCCAAAGCTTGCCTTTTTTTCTAAAAATTTCAATTTTGTGATCAGTTCTCCGCAATTTGCGGTTTACTGGATAAACCACTTTGTAATCTGAATTCAAGATATCGTGTACAGTTTGTAGCAGAGATGTTAATAAACCTAATTCAAGCTAGTGGCATTATGTATTGCCGTTAATTTGCAACGACAACTCCATGTCTGTCTTTCGAGCTTGGAAATGATCGGAGTTTGTGTGTCGTGTCACTAATTGTGTGGTTTGTTCAGCGGTGGCAGATTCTACCTCATCCCCCTGCTTCAAGCTGTGTACCCAGGTGGAAACAACTGTATGGCTGTAGGAGAAAATGTCACGTTTTATCTAATCACTATCCCCACTGGTTTCTCTCTTTATTTTTTTTTCCTTTGCATCTGAGGTTTAGCTAATGCAATGTCTGAAACTTTCATACCCGAAAGGAATTGCTGCTGTCTGATAGGCCTGTGCTGTTCTAAACAAATGAATTTGTCTCTTTATTTGATAGTGCTCCTCAGATGAAATTCTCAGTGTTCATGTCCTCATAATTTTCTAAATATCTCTGATGGTTTACATGTCAGAAGTGGAAATTGTGCGCTATATTTATTTGGGAAGTGTTTTACCAATCTTGTTGTTTCTCTTGATTTTAAGTATCTGTGGGGGAAGCACAAATTTTATTCGTAGTAAGAGAAATATTTCGTTTTCATTTGTGTGTATTTTGTTAAAGGGACACTATAGTCACCTGAACAACTTTAGGTTAATGAAGCAGTTTTGGTGTATAGAACATGCCCCTGCAGCCTCACTGCTCAATCATCTGCCATTTAGGAGTTAAATTCCTTTTGTTTATGAACCCTAGTCACACCTCCCTGCATGTGACTTGCACAGCCTTCCATAAACACTTCCTGTAAAGAGAGCCCTATTTAGGCTTTCTTTATTGCAAGTTCTGTTTAATTAAGATTTTCTTATCCCCTGCTATGTTAATAGCTTGCTAGACCCTGCAAGAGCCTCCTGTATGTGATTTAAAGTTCAATTTAGAGATTGAGATGCAATTATTTAAGGTAAATTACATCTGTTTGAAAGTGAAAATAGTTTTATTTTATTTTTTTTCATGCAGGCTCTGTCAATCATAGCCAGGGGAGGTGTGGCTAGGGCTGCATAAACAGAAACAAAGTGATTTTAACTCCTAAATGACAGTGAATTGAGCAGTGAAATTGCAGGGGAATGATGTATACACTAAAACTGCTTTATTTAGCTAAAGTAATTTAGGTGACTATAGTGTTCCTTTAATTGTCGTATTTCAATGTTGTGCTTTTCCAGCTTGTCGCCTGCATTGCCAGAATTGTTATAACGTGTTCCAATAGATATTCTTTAAATCCTGCATCACTATTATTATTATTATTGCCATTTATATAGCGCCAACAGATTCCGTAGCGCTTTACATGTTACTTGTAGTATTTAGAGCTATATTGCAGGATTTCTGGGTCTCTCGGCACCCTCTGAGGAACTGCCTAGGTCAATTTAGATCAAGCATGTCAAACTCAAAGTCTAGTACGGGCCAATATTTTGAAAAGTACAGTATAAAAAAACCCCCCAAAAAACAAACGCATCCCCATCTACTAATTCCCAGTCCTCCCCTCTGCTAAATCCAAGCACCTCCCTTTAGCCAACAATCAGACTGCACTCACATTGCCGCTGCCAGTGTGCGACTCCGGAGTCTGGCCTCTGGTATACCCCAAAGGGCGCCGTCTGCACCCTGTGCCAAAGCGGATCCTCCCGGTACTTCTTGAAACCCCGTGAAGGTGGAGCATGTCAACGTCATGTTGGAATGGGGCATTGTGTTCCTCTGTGCACCTCCAGATACTCCAGTGTCCAGCCGTGGCCATCGCAACACTGACCGACACACATACAGACTCGCTGACATACACACACACACTTACAATGATGTGAGTGCGTGCAAGAATGTGTATTTATCCCTGGGGTCCAGTGGGGATCTTCTATCTGGAGATCTGCCTTCCTGCTCTAAACTAAAATAGGATCCTGCGGTATTGGCCATAAAACAGGATCCTGCGGTATTGGCCATAAAACAGGATCCTGCGGTATTGGCCATAAAACAGGATCCTGCGGTATTGGCCATAAAACACCGCAGGATCCTGTTTTATGGCCAATACCGCAGGATCCTGTTTTATGGCCAATACCGCAGGATCCTATTTTAGTGAAGAGCAGGAAGGCAGATCTCCAGATAGAAGATCCTGTTTTATTGGCCATAAAACAGGATCCTGCGGTACTGGCCATAAAACAGGATCCTGCGGTATTGGCCATTAAACAGGATCCTGCGGTATTGGCCATAAAACAGGATCCTGCGGTATTGGCCATTAAACAGGATCCTGCGGTATTGGCCATAAAACAGGATCCTGCGGTATTGGCCATAAAACAGGATCCTGCGGTATTGGCCATAAAACAGGATCCTGCGGTACTGGCCATAAAACAGGATCCTGCGGTACTGGCCATAAAACAGGATCCTGCGGTACTGGCCATAAAACAGGATCCTGCGGTACTGGCCATAAAACAGGATCCTGCGGTACTGGCCATAAAACAGGATCCTGCGGTATTGGCCATTAAACAGGATCCTGCGGTATTGGCCATTAAACAGGATCCTGCGGTATTGGCCATTAAACAGGATCCTGCGGTATTGGCCATAAAATAGCATCCTGCGGTACTGGCCATAAAATAGCATCCTGTTTCCCCCGAGGAAATAGTTTGAATCCATTCTTTTATGAGGTGGGTGTTTGACTAGAATTGTCTTTCCGCTTGAGCTGCAGATGAAGACCCCACATGGTCATTCTTTTAGCCGCAGGGAAATTGGCCCCTCGCAATGCAGGGTCACTGGCACCGAGTGACATCTTAACCTGAAGCACCACTGACTGATGCAGCTGTCTGTATTTGTTAGAAACTAAATCAAACAAATACATAATCCACTCTTTTCAATGTCTGGGGGAGGAGGGAATTACACCCATCATTGGATAGATTTCAGGCAGATGGTAATATATGATCAGCCGATTCATGATTTCAGTATCTTTTTGTTGTTTTTCTTTTTATATATGACTTGGCTACTGTCACTTAAAGGAACAGTAACATTTTAGTCTTCCTGTCCCTACTCCTATTCAGTCGTGTCCCATCTCCCTCCCCCCGTGCATTAAAATAAAAATAGAAACGTTTTATTTGGGCATTGCTCAACACTCCACCTCTCCTGCAATGTCACAGTGGAGCCATGGCCTACTCCGGTGTGGTCCAATCCAATGCTCCTCAAGGCTACCAAAGGATAGAATTGAATCATTGCTTTCCATAGCTTACCTATGGAGGATTCCGTGTCACGTGAGAGTTTTACGGAGTCGGCTCCTCTAGCGGCTGTCATAGGCCACTTCATCAAGACTCAAGGGACTTTAGTGTCCCTTTGAAGCTTCAAATTGAGCAGCAATGTAGAGCAGTGTTTATTTAAATGAATGTAACCATCTTTGCATTTTAATAAAAATTTATTTATTTTATTCTATCCGAATTGTTTTTTTTTTTAATCTAAATACTTTTTTTTTTTTTTTTTTATTTGACTGCCTGCACACTTCTTTCATTTAACCAAAACAGAATGTCTTTGTAGTAATTGGATAATGTCACAGCAGTAATTAGGTGTAGGTTAATTGGTTAAGAGCACTAATTAGACAAATTTGAACGGTCCCCCTCCGTGTGTGTTTTGGGCCGTGAATAACTCGTTAACATCTGGACTGACATGGGCTGAAAATGCTCCTCTTTATTTTATCAATCATGTCCAAACTGTTGCATGCAAAAAACATCTTGTAATTACTGTACATACTACTCTGGCATGTCTCCATTTTACCATCAAAATCATCTCCGAAATGCCATTAAACTAGCTTACCACCTAAACATATATTAATTGGCCTAAGGTGAACGTGTTCATCTTTAGGGAAATTCACAAAACTTGATGGTGGAAACTCTGACTCTTGTCAAGCGTAGGAAGAAAGCCTAATTCCTACTTTGTCTAATGATATATTTTAACTGCATTGAATTTCATTAAAAATGCCACAATGTAAGAAATAGTGTTTATAAATGGAATTTTCACAACACATACCCAGACTGCAATCTTAATGATTTTTTTTAATGTGTGTGTTTAAAATACAGCCTTTTAATTGTGTTTTTAATTTCATTTACTTACAGTTAATGTCTTCTTGATTGTTTTTTACATATATATTTTTTTTTAAACTTTTTTTTCAGATATTTCAAGGCTTTCCATCCCACTGGGTGAGTGTTTCTGTATTTTATTTAATTTTACGGTGTATTATTATTATTGCCATTTATATAGCGCCAACAGATTCCGTAGCGCTTTACAATATAATGAGAGGGGGATGTAACTATAAATAGGACAATTACAAGAAAACTTACTGGAACAATAGGTTGAAGAGGACCCTGCTCAAACAAGCTTACATTCTATATCTGTATTGCAACTTCATATCTCTCTTCTTTTGTGTGGTTGTAAATGGCATGTTGGTAACAACCACACATTATTATGGTTCTTTACTGTGCTTTATGGTTTCAAAATATATATTAACTGCGGTCTAGTATTTTAAAGGATCACTGTGGGCACTATTATTGCTTTATCTCATTGTAGTGGTTATAGTGTCTGGAGTCCTCAGGTGGTGTTTTTCCATACAGCGTTAAACCATTTTTAATGTTTTGATGCCAAGCAGTTCATCCCCTCTACGTTGCTTGGGCTAGTGAGAAAGCATTAGCCTGAACAGCATTGGGCAGCTGTAATTGGCTGAGAGTGCCAATCGCTTTTATGAATTTGTGTGGCCAAAAGGAAATGTGTAAAATCTGCCATACCAGTGGGGCCGGCAGTGGAGGCCACTTTATTTAAAACAATGTTAAACTGCTGGAAGATGGTTTGACTCAGAATGAAGGGGCAATGCCAGGTAACTGAAATGATTATCATGCCTACATTGTCCCTGTAATGGATTTAAATGTTTTTCTCAGAGTATATATTCCTGTGTTTAATATGGCCTATAGACTGTGTCCAGTTACTTCCTGTATTATGCAGGGCCTATAGACGGTGTCCAGTTACTTCCTGTGTTGGGCAGGGCCTATAGACGGTGTCCAGTTACTTCCTGTGTTGGGCAGGGCCTATAGACGGTGTCCAGTTACTTCCTGTATTATGCAGGGCCTATAGACGGTGTCCAGTTACTTCCTGTTTTAGGTAGGGCCTATAGACGGTGTCCAGTTACTTCCTGTGTTATGCAGGGCCTATAGACGGTGTCCAGTTACTTCCTGTATTATGCAGGGCCTATAGACGGTGTCCAGTTACTTCCTGTATTAGGCAGGGCCTATAGACGGTGTCCAGTTACTTCCTGTGTTGGGCAGGGCCTATAGACGGTGTCCAGTTACTTCCTGTGTTGGGCAGGGCCTATAGACGGTGTCCAGTTACTTCCTGTATTATGCAGGGCCTATAGACGGTGTCCAGTTACTTCCTGTGTTGGGCAGGGCCTGTAGACGGTGTCCAGTTACTTCCGGTGTTGGGCAGGGCCTATAGACGGTGTCCAGTTACTTCCTGTGTTAGGCAGGGCCTATAGACGGTGTCCAGTTACTTCCTGTTTTAGGTAGGGCCTATAGACGGTGTCCAGTTACTTCCTGCATTAGGCAGGGCCTGTAGACGGTGTCCAGTTACTTCCGGTGTTGGGCAGGGCCTATAGACGGTGTCCAGTTACTTCCTGTATTAGGCAGGGTCTATAGACGGTGTCCAGTTACTTCCTGTATTAGGCAGGGTCTATAGACGGTGTCCAGCTACTTCCTGTATTAGGCAGGGTCTATAGACGGTGTCCAGTTACTTCCTGTGTTAGGCAGGGCCTATAGACGGTGTCCAGTTACTTCCTGTTTTAGGTAGGGCCTATAGACGGTGTCCAGTTACTTCCGGTGTTGGGCAGGGCCTGTAGACGGTGTCCAGTTACTTCCTGTGTTAGGCCGGGCCTATAGACGGTGTCCAGTTACTTCCTGTTTTAGGTAGGGCCTATAGACGGTGTCCAGTTACTTCCTGCATTAGGCAGGGCCTGTAGACGGTGTCCAGTTACTTCCGGTGTTGGGCAGGGCCTATAGACGGTGTCCAGTTACTTCCTGTATTAGGCAGGGTCTATAGACGGTGTCCAGTTACTTCCTGTATTAGGCAGGGTCTATAGACGGTGTCCAGCTACTTCCTGTATTAGGCAGGGTCTATAGACGGTGTCCAGTTACTTCCTGTGTTAGGCAGGGCCTATAGACGGTGTCCAGTTACTTCCTGTTTTAGGTAGGGCCTATAGACGGTGTCCAGTTACTTCCTGCATTAGGCAGGGCCTGTAGACGGTGTCCAGTTACTTCCGGTGTTGGGCAGGGCCTGTAGACGGTGTCCAGTTACTTCCTGTGTTAGGCAGGGCCTGTAGACGGTGTCCAGCTACTTCCTGCATTAGGCAGGGCCTGTAGACGGTGTCCAGTTACTTCCGGTGTTGGGCAGGGCCTGTAAACGGTGTCCAGTTACTTCCTGTATTATGCAGGGTCTATAGACGGTGTCCAGTTACTTCCTGTATTATGCAGGGTCTATAGACGGTGTCCAGCTACTTCCTGTATTAGGCAGGGCCTGTAGACGGTGTCCAGTTACTTCCGGTGTTGGGCAGGGCCTATAGACGGTGTCCAGCTACTTCCTGTATTAGGCAGGGTCTATAGACGGTGTCCAGTTACTTCCTGTGTTAGGCAGGGCCTATAGACGGTGTCCAGCTACTTCCTGCATTAGGCAGGGCCTATAGACGGTGTCCAGCTACTTCCTGCATTAGGCAGGGCCTATAGACGGTGTCCAGTTACTTCCTGCATTAGGCAGGGCCTGTAGACGGTGTCCAGTTACTTCCTGTGTTGGGCAGGGCCTATAGACGGTGTCCAGTTACTTCCTGTGTTGGGCAGGGCCTATAGACGGTGTCCAGTTACTTCCTGCATTAGGCAGGGCCTGTAGACGGTGTCCAGTTACTTCCTGTATTAGGCAGGGCCTGTAGACGGTGTCCAGTTACTTCCTGCATTAGGCAGGGCCTGTAGGGATACTGGGGGAATGTTATCAATGTGGGGGTGCTTAAGCTGCTTTGAGATGGTAGCAGAGATTGCAAATCATGTGTATAAACATTCTCTTATTGTCAAAACAGATCTACAATTTTCTCTCCATTAATTTAGTTTGCAAAAAAGTTTTTTTGCCTTTTTTTTTATTTTATTTTTTGCCTTTTTTTTTTTTAAAGATTGCTTCCTTGTTATTTTGATTTAATCTGTCTCCTATATGGCACGGCCTAATTAAAGTTCTTGGTAGTATTGGAATTCTTCCTCTCTCTGCGCCTGGGACTTAGAGAGTTAATTGAGCCTTATCTGGGCCATTGGAAGGTTTCCTTAGGAACCATTTATCAGAGGGGATACTGCTGAATCAGGAGGGCACCGATTAAATAATGGTATTTGTTTTCTTTGTCAACAGACCCAAACCACAAAGAGCCATAAAAATAATCAATTGTGTGATTTTGCAGTAAATGTATAAATAGGATTACTTGGTTGGGCTTTATTGCAGCATCTGTTCTTTTTTTGTGAAGAGGGCCGTTTTGTGTCATTTTTGTTTGTGGTGTGCATTAAAGGGGCCGCTCATGTTAAACC